TGACTTTAACACAATTAAGTTTTTACTGCTTTTTATTCCTATTAGCATAGCAGGAGCAAACATCGCTCAAAGAGTAAGCTGTATTTTGTTCTTTCTTGTGCATCAACAGATGTTTAACATGCTACAATCAGTCACACCTTTATACCTGTATTGAAGACAAAGAGTTACAGAGGTGTCACTGAGGGTATGTCTACACTTTGAGTTGGGAGTGTGATTCCCAGCTCAAGGAGACATACCCGTGCTAGCTCTCATCAAGCTAGAGTACTAAAAATAGAGTGCAGCCATGGGAGCATGAGCAGCGGGATGGACTAGCCACCCCTAGTATGTGCCTAGGGTCTCAGAAGAGTATGAATTTGGGCTGGCTAACTGTCCTGCTGTTGCAGCTCCATTCTGCTTTTAGTCCATTAGCTTGATGAGAGGTATCACACATATGTCTCCTTAACCTGGGAATCACACCCTCAAGCTCAAAGTGTAGACATACCGTAAGAGAAAAATGCATATGCTAGGAGGTACAGAATTAAGATAGCTGTAGGAACATTCTGAATTACTGGAATTTTCTTGCTTGCTGCAGTGCAACCTTGTGCAGCAGGATAGGAAGGATACTAAGCCACCACACAAGTATTCTGTACTTCTTGCATGCCGTGTTTTGCTCTGTGGTGATTCCCTAAATTCCTCTAGCGTATGGGAGAAGTAGGTTGGACAGCAAGGGATTCCAAAAACCACAAAGGCTACACAACAGACTCCTTCCCCAATTCCCATGAAATTCCACATTCCTTTACTTAGGTTGCACAGCTCATTTATTCAGGCTATTGACTGAATTAAAATTTGCCTCTTAACCATTATGTATTTAGGAATGACATTGCCCCCATTTTAAGGAATGCAGAATAGCCTCTCAAAGTTCAAGAAAATGCCTTTCAAAACTTAAAATAAAACCCTAGCTAGTTGAAAAAGCAAAGTGTTTAACCCACTCAGTGTACGTAATGTTTATACAACAGCACCACGGAAAGGGAGAACATGGAATTCGAAGCACAAAACAAAAGCAAAATAACATACTTCTCTCTTATCTCAGTTAGCATCCTTATTCAGTGATACTTCAAGTCACTGAGCTATGCAGAACATCAGTAGCAGCTTGACAGTCTCCTTTTCCTTCCTTATCTAGTTCATTTGTCCCTGGCACAGGGGACTCAACAAATTCTCAGTGGTAGTTTGGTTCCTTTCCCAATTTATCAGATCTTTTGTTAGCTTTATAAAAGTGCTGTTGGTCTGACAACAGCAACTCATCACTGTAATTCTCAGTAGTGACACTTCCTCATGGTAACAGTTAAGGAATAGCAGAGTGCAAATACACAAACTGGTGAAATAACAGATGACGGAGAAAGTGCTGAAATATGTTATTTTACCACTTCATGATATCACCTACAGGTTATTTCAAGTCTTTTTATTCAAAGTGAGAAAATAATAGGATTTATCAGGTATACTTAAAAACCACCGAGAAAAAGAGAAATGATGAAATGAAAACCTTAGGTCATGTAACAGAAGAGGATGAAGTAACCCCCTAAAATAAGAGAACTCTATAGTTGTTCTCAGTCTGCCAAAGTTTAAACAAAAGGAAGAAAAACTGACAAGATAAATTTCAGTGCACATGGTATTAATTTATTATGTTTTCTTTAAACCCATTCTCTTAATTCAAGATTCTAATATCTAAATTATTTATAATATATAAATATATAGATATATTTTACAGTAACAATGGAATCAAGTACAGTAAATGTAGGTTCTAAATAGGGTGACCAGATGTCCCGATTTTATAGGGACAGTCCCGATTTTTGGGTCTTTTTCTTATATAGGCTCCTATTACCCCCCACCTCCGTCCCGATTTTTCACACTTGCTGTCTGGTCACCCTAGTTCTAAATGTCTGATGTTCCTTATTAAATGAATAGGGAAGTGTTATTTACTCCTTCACATGACAGAAGAACAAAGGGTCACCCAATGAAATTAATAGGCAGCAGGTTTAACACAAACTAAAGGAAGTACTTTTTCCATACAACCTGTGGAACTCGTTGCCATGGGACGTTGTGAAAGCCAAAAGTATAACTGGGTACAAAAAAGAATTAGATAAATTCATGGAAGATAGGTCTATCAATGACTTTTAGCCAAGATGGTCAAGGACACAACCCCATTCGCTGAGTATCCCTAAACCTTTTAATCCCAGAAGCTGGGACTGGATGATAGGGGATAGATCACTCAAAATTGCCCTGTTGTGTTCATTCCTTCCAATGCATCTAGCACTGGTCACCATCAGAGACAGGATACTGGCTAGATGGACCATTGGTCTGACCCAGTATGGTATTATTATGTTCTTACGTTCACTAAAATTGAAAACTGAGAGGTACTTTAAAATGTTCACTTAAAACAAAGGGCTGCTCCTTAGTCAAAGGCAATATTAGAACTCTTCCCCAAAAAGTTAAAGATGTTATGACTTCCCGGACTACCGCATTTTATCTATGCCATTTATTTGCTTTATTTACTTACCTATGCATCTTTTTTGAATTTGAATTAAATTAGTTGCTCACAAAAAAACTCAAAACACTTCTAATTAGCGTGGAGAACCTTATTGTTCATAATGTTCTGTATAAACTCAATTAATACAGTATTGTATAATGGTTTACAATACACACCATGTTTTATGTGATATTATGAGTACATATAAACTGTCATTCTTTTTATCTGTTTTCAATATCAGCCACATATTCTGAAACAAATTAATTTTGGCTGAAATTTTCCCTACTTAGTATCAGCCTAAACTTTTCTTTTTTAAAGCCTGAGCAAAATCAAAGAAGTCATTTATTTTTGGTTCTGGCTTAAACAGACACACACTTTTCCACATAGTATGATCAGAAATTAGTCACACACAACTTCAATGGTTTAGCCAATCACAAATTTGCTAAAACATTAAGTCCCAATCCTGCAATGCATTGTAAGGATCCCTGCAACTTCTACTCCTGAGGGAATTCTGCGCTACTGTGCATGTGCAGAATTTATGTCCCCCTGTAGATTTCCTTTGCTTCCCTGCAGAAAAATGACTTTCTGACAGGAAAGAAAAGAGAAGCCACAAGCGTGGTCATGTGACCCTCCCTAGCAGTATGTTGCAGGTGCCCAGGGCAGCCGGCAGAAAGGTAAATCACTGTGGGGTAGAGGGTGTGACTGGGGAAGACCCAGCTGGTGGCTCCCACCCTGCACCGGGCTCAGCTGCTAGTCCTGGCTGGGCTGGGGAGGATGGGACTTCCTCTTCTCTTGCACGGCATCTGGGGCCATGTCAGACCCACCCCCAGATTTCTCCGCCACCTGTAGGAAGCTCTGCAAACTCTCCCTCCCCGTGCTTCCTGCACTCGTTGCTCCTCTGCTGCAGGGAGAGGGGTCACTGTACAGGGACCTGCTCACCCCATCAGCCCAACCCCATGCAGCCAGACCCCCTCATACCCAGACCCTCCTACTGAGCCTTACCTCCACCCCTGCACCCAGAACCCCTGACAGGCACCACTCCCTCTGCACCTGGACCATCGACGAGTCACCCACACCCAGATCCCCATCCTATCGAGCCCCAACCAACCACACCAGGATCCCCACCTCACTGAACCTCACTTCTCCAGCATCTGGACCTCCCCACTGAGCCCTCCACACCCAGACCCCTCTGACAAGCTCTATCCCTCTCCCCCACTGAGCCCTAACCACTCTCAGCTGGACCCCCCTTCAGCGTCCCATTACCATTGCACCCAGAACCCCACAACAAGCCCCTGTGCATCCAGATCCCCCCACACCCAGATCCTCCACTGAGTTACCGGAGCTCAGTTTACCCCACACAGGACCCTCTCAACTCACACCTGGATCCCCCCCAAACTAAGCCCCTCCACACTTGGATCCTACCTTGCTGAGCCTGCCTGCCCACACCTGGTGCATCTGGCATGGAGGGGCAGGGCACTGGGGTGTTTCTGGGGTAGGCCCTGTCCTTGCGCTGTGTCAGGGTTGGGTGCAGCTTCACCGCTGAGTCCGAGTCCTGGGTGGGAGCTGCACAGTGATCTCCCACTTCTGTGCAGCCAGTGGCCTGTGCTCCCCAATGCCATGCTGGAGTCTCCACATTTATTTGACAAATAAAATTTGCAGAATTTTAAAATAATATGCGTGGAATTTTTATTTGTTTTTGGCTCAGAAGTGAGCCAAGTTTAAATACTGTTTCACTGATTTAAAGTTTTGAGATTTAAATGTATTTATGAAACAACAGATTTTGCTATTTTTTTTTAAATGGCTGGACAGCTGGGAAAATGCAGACTGCTGGGGGGTTGTGGTGAAAAACATTAGCTTTAAACTGATCTTAAGGCTGAAGTGGACAATGCTTAGGCCCATAATATGAGTTGGTTGGGTTCTGATGAGACTTGCCAAGAGCAGCAGGGATCAGTAGACATTATAAGAAGGCTCTAGTAAATGAGAAACAAATGCCTTAAGAACTTTCCTAAAATCTGTATTTTCTATAAATCCTGCATTTTATATACAAAAGAGAGTAGAACTACTAATATCAAGAGTAAAATCAATTTAATATCTGTAATTAAATTTGATACTTCTCCTACTCTTCATTATACCTGACTCCCAGGGGGATGTACTTGATGACTTGAATTTCTTCTATGATGTTAATGTACTACACACTTCATAAAATGTAATAAAAACTACCCCAAATAGAATATTTGAATTTGTAACACTGAATTCATAAGGGCAGAGGTGAAAAAGTATAGTGATGTACATGTTCATTTGGAAAGGTAAGAAATAAGCCTGTGAAATCACATGAAATATTCCAGTCACAAGATTTCATTTTCCAGTAGTTGCTTTTCAAAATTAAATCTATTACTTACTTAATATTGGTATCTGGGTACAAACTTATGGAAAATAAGTGGAAAGCAAATACATTTGCCATGAAAAACTAGAGTAGTTTGAAGAAAATAATTCTTACCTCCCCATCTATAATCCCCCTGAACACAGATGGCAAAAGGGGTTGAAACATTTGAGGCCCCAATGCTGGGTTTACTTTTAGGACATTTTCCACAACCTAAAAAACAAAAACAAAAAAAAACCATAACAACAAGCAAAGAATTACACTGAAAAACTACAATGGAAGTTCTACGACTTATGCATATTAATGTCTATTAGCCTGGGTGACAGAATGTGGGCTATTTCATAAACTATACAAGTTAGACATTTACAATACTCTTCAGAAATGTACAAAACATCCTGCTAAACTGAACAGTACAACTGAACTAATACATATGTAAGCAGCTGATCTGTGATGTTTTGCTGTTTCTAACTGATTTGAATTTGGAACAGAGAAAAGATACCACATATAAAGTAAAAAAGTGTTTGGTGGGAGGGAGACATAGGAAAGTAGGTTCCACAGCTAAGTAAAATATTAGCTAGCAAGCAATCTGTGACAATTTATTTAGTATAACCCCCATCACATGAGATGAATTCTTTCAATAAAGGAGATCCAGTTCCCCTGTGCAAGAACAGGTGCTTCCAGTTTGGTCTATTAAGAGGGAAGGGCAGCTCCTGGGGCTATATAGGATCAAGGAAGAATCTGAGAAAGGAAGAGTCTAAGGGCTTGTCTACATTTACTGGGGGACAAGCAGCAATCGATGGATCGGCGGTTGATTTAGCGGGTCTAGTGAAGACCCGCTAAATCAACGGCAGGTCGTTCTCCTGTCGAGTCCTGTACTCCTCCGGATCGAGAAGAGTAGGGGGAGTTGACAGGAGAGCATCTCCCGTTGACATTGCGTAGTGTGGGCCCCGTGATAAGTAGATCTAAGTGACATCGATTTGAGTTATGCTATTCACTTAACTCAAATTGTGTAGCTTAGATCGAATTTCCCCTGTAGGGTAGACAAGGCCTTAGTGAGTAAGAGTTTCCTTAGAGCACAGTCTCAGTCAGTCAGGAAAAGGGCAAGTGAGAGCTGCCTCGGAGTCAAGGGCAAGTGAGAGCTGTCAGAGATCAGGGGACTGTGGAAAGTCTTAGATGGGAGCTGCAGATGGTTCCTGGGAAAAGACTGAAAGCAAGAGCACCAAAAAGGATTTGCTGGTTGACTTTCTGAAGTGAGGGCTGGAGAGGGCTGAAGGTCAGAGAGCAGCAGAGAGACAAGGTGGGTGAGGTGTTACTTTTTCTGGACCAACTTCTGCTGGTGAGAGAGACAAGCTTTCGAGCCACACAGAGCTCTTCTTCAGGTCTGGGAAAGGTACTCCCAGCATCACAGCAAAACGCAATGTGAAACAGATCTGGAGCCAAAAGCAGTTGAGAAGGAACTGAAATGGTGGTGAGTTCACCTCTCCCTATATGCTCTTACACCAGAGCATGAGGTTGTATAATGAACAGGTGTGGACCTGCAGACACTGCTAATTTAAGTCTCTGATCAAGAGCACATGGGCATGAACATATCCAATGGTAGAGCACCCATAGGAACAATAACTTGAAGAATCCACAGATCCCATTGAAAAATTTCAGTGAGGAATGGCCAATCCCTTTTCTTTCTTAACTAAGCCTCTTTCTACTACTCTAAGCATAACTTTTAGAGTAGCAGTTCAAAATAGTACAGCTTTGAGCAATGCCTCTTCTTTAAATATCTCAAGACAGATTCTCTGCTGTGTCTATGATCAGCTCAGGACACAAAGGGGGTGGAGGGATGGCCATCAAAGCCAATTACTACTCCTTCACTTTCTGATCAGCCCCAATCCAGTTTAGAGCAGTTCTAGAGGCTGCTCTAACTTGTGCCATAGGCAATGGGGCCCCCAAAGGTTCATCTAGCAGAGAGGATACCCAAAGTGCAGCACAATCCAGCCAAGACTCCCCCACAACACATGCACAGAGATTAAAGTTGCAGAGGAGCTTAATATTCCAGGTCTACGTCTGCTGGAGGCCTTCTTGTGGTGGGAGGATGATCAGTTGCACAGATTACATTCCCTTTCTACCACCACAGGAGGATGGAGTGGAGGAAAGAATCTTGCCCTTCCATCTCCAAATCTTTCATTCTTCTGAATGTCTCCAAGTGAGAATCACAAATTCTCAAGAACAGTAATCCAATACTCCATGAATTGACACCACATATGTACAGGCAAACCATTTGGTCATCTTAATTCAAGATGGACATCTTGTACTTCAGTGGCTATAAACACAGACTAACTATTTTAGATTCGAAATGCTTAGTACACAGAGCCTTTTTTAACCCTACGCAAAAATTATAAACACCCAATGGAAACTAACTGTAGATATTAAGAAAACAAAACTTTGCCAGGAAAGCTCCAGCCTATTTAAATTCAATACATTAGTTTACAAGATTATTCAAAAACAATGTATTCAAATTACTTTCTTTAAAGTGTCAATTTTCATACAATATCTAAGCCCCAAAGTGGCCTTAATATTAAAATGTTGAGAGGAAAATATGGCATGTGAATTTTTAATATGGAAGAAAACCTTAACATGTCAGTTTGCTGGTCAGTAATTTACAGTATTTAATGTAAATTAGGTTGTTGAAATATACACTGAGAAAGTCCCCTGAATTAAAAAGTAATTAAAATAAAACATGCATAATTTATAACGTTGGTAGTATAATACAGATGTTTGCATACAAATACTGGTGCAATTTTTCAAAACAAAGTCATTTCCTCCAAGTTTATTTCAGAGATATAGCCAGATGGAAGACGAAGAGGGGATACTAAAAAAAAGAATATAAATCGATACCACACAGCTAAGTGTTGGAAGACTAAAGCTGTCTCTACTTGTCCACAAAAAGATGAATGAATGAATGAGGCGGTGCATAAGATGGTATCCAACCTTTTCAGCCTGAGGGCCAAACATGTTATTTCACAAAGGTCAAGAGGCTACAATCAATATTTTGTGACAGATCCTCTGGGCTACTCTGCTCCATTTGGCATTTCTCAGGGTGCAAAAAGGGAGAAGAAACCACTCACAAATCTTCTGCTGGGACTTCCCCCAGTGTGCGAGTCTCACCAGTAGGGTGCAGAGCCAGTATATTTGACTCTGATGTCTCCCTTCCCCACATTAGCTATTATCATGGGGGAAATGTTGAGATGTGCAGAAGCATATTGAAGATGTGGAGAGGGAGCGGCTGGTGTACAATGCACTCTGGCTAGTGGCTATATTCAAGTGGCATATGATTTCTTGGGTATCATAATCAGCTAGTGCTGCAGCCATGAGTCACCTAGGAACCGTGACTGAGGTATGACTGTCAGCTTCTCCTCTTCTTCCACTCCCCCCTTCTACCATGAGTAAGGGAAGCCATTTAAAAACCATCTGGGCTGCAATCTGTTCCTCCTGTGGCTCTCACAACCCAACAAAGATGGAGGGTGGCCAATGAACTGACTACTGGAACTGTTCAAAGAGATATGGGATCCCATCAGAATTGTTGTTGGGGCTGCAAAAAGGCAATGAGAGGCAGGTGGGAAAACAGTGTCCACTACCTCCTTCCAGGGTACGTCTACACTGCATTTAGATACCAACAGCTGGACCATGCCAGCTGAGTCAGGTTTGCTGGGCTCAGGCTAAGGGGCTGTTTAATTGCGGTGTAAATGTTTGAGCTCAGGCTAGAGCCCAGGCTCTAGGACCCTGTGAGGTGGGAGAATCCCAGAGCTTGGGCTGCAGCCCAAGTCCAAACATCTACCCTGCAATTAGACAGCCCCTTAGCCCAAGCACTGTGAGTCTGAGTCAGTTGGCATGGGTCAGCCACGAGTTTTTAATTGCAGTGTAGACATACCCCCAATACTGAGATGATTGATTCAAGTACTTCACTTTAAAAATCACAGGGCCTGGCTCAGGAAACACAGATAAAAAAGGCCTCTACAATCGGAAATCTTCTCCCCATATAGATAGTTTTGGAGGGAGGGAGATAGGGACTGGAGTGAGAATGGAAACAAAGCTTCTGCAGTATTTTGTTACCAAAAAAGGAGCTTGTTAACTTTCAAGTTTCATGAATACTTCAAAACAGAAAATGTTTTTCTTGGATTTCCTTGGGGCAAAATACACTGCAATTTTTATCATAATTAGTATATCACAATGAGAAATCAGTTCATTGCAGACTTCTACTATATGAATAATAATGTTGTATTAATAAAACTGAATGCAAGTCAAACTAAGACTTAAGAGACACAGTTAAAGCTCCTAGAAAAGACATCATTTTTTCAAACAGTGACAGTAATAAACCATAATTATTGTAACATCTGAATTGCACAGTATGAATCTCTATTTTCTTCCGAGTTTCCTCAAAAGGCATATTTAAAGTGTCAATACTTGTATTTTTAGATCTCAGAAATGAATTTATCAAGATCTGTTTTTCACAATATCTTTGGAGTTCCCAAAAGCTTTATTAAAAAAAAAAGTAACATGAATGAACCCAACAATGCAATTTACAAAAACAGCTACTTATATTACAGTAGCAACTAGATATCCTAACCAAGATTGTGCAAGGCACTGTACAAATGCAAAGTAGGAGATAATCCTTATCTAGAAGAGTTTACAATCTAAATAAACAAGACAAAGGGGGTGGGAGAAAGGGAGTATTATCCCAAAAGATGGGAAACTGTGGCATTGAGAAATTAAATCAGTTGCCCAAAGCTAAATAGGAAATCTGTGGCAGCACCAGGAAGTTAACCCAGACCACCCAACTCTCAGTCCAGTGCCTAAATCACAAGACCATCCTTCCGCGTAAACAGTGCTCACTGAATGCACCATCTACAATCACTGTCTGGAGTCCCTCTCCTCTAATTCTATCCTAGACTCTTGCATGCCACTGAAACTGCTCTTTCCAAGTCTTTTATGAGCTCTGCTAGCTAAAGCTCAGAAGCAGTACTCCATCCTCATCCTCCTTGACGTGCCAGTCACCTTTGACACCATCAACAATGCTCCTCTTCTCGAAATCTTGTGCTCCCTTCACTTCCATAACTCCATCCTATCTTGGTACTCCTTCTACCTTTCTTATCACTTCTTCAGTGTGTTGTTCGGAGGATCCTCCTCATCTGTCCTTCAACTTTCTGTTAGGATTCCACCGGGCTCTGTCCTTAGTCCTCTTCTCCTCTCCCTTTACGCCTTATCTCTGGGAAATCTCAATTCATCTACCATTTCTATACTGATGACTCACAGATCTATCGCTACTCCAGACCTATTTTCTTCTGTCCAAACTAAAATCTCAGCTTCTCTCTCTAACATCTCCTTGTGGATGTCTAGCTATCAGCTCAAGATCAACATGGCTAAAATGGAGTTCCTAATCATCCTCCTCAAGCCCCACCTGCTACCTCCCTTCTTGATCAGTGTGGACAACATCACCATCAGGCCCATAACCTGGGCATCTTCTTCAACTCCAACATTTCTCTAGGTCCTCACATCTGGGCTATGTATAAATCTTACCAAATCTTTCTCCATAACATCTCTAAGATATGGCCTTTCTTAACCATCCATCTAGCTAAAAATCTTGTTCAAACTCTCATCTCGCGCCTTGACTAATGGAACACCCTTCTCTCTGGGTTTGACAAATGCAATCTTGCCCCACTCATCTCCATTTAGAATGCTGCTGCAAAGATCATTCTCCTACCGTGTCACTTTGACCATGTCATGTCCCTCATTGCATCCCTCCACTGTCTCCCTCTTCTCTAGAACATCAAACATAAGATGAGTGTATTCACTTTCAAGGCCCTTTACAGTCAATTTTCAGCTTACCTATCATCTCTAAGCTTACTTTAAATTAGCCTATGATGACAGCCTTCTTTGCCCATTTATTAAATTTTAAAACAAGCGTGTACTTTCTCCCATGCTGCCCCACACATGTGGGAAGCACTGTCTGTAAACGTTTGCAAAGCCATCTCATTATTCACCTTCCAATCCCTCCTCAAATCTCTGCTTTGCCACAGTGCCTACAAAACACTTGACAGTGGTTAAGATGTTGGTATGTTGTGATATCTGCCAATTATGATGACCAGTATTGTCTCATTGTTTTCTTATACTCCTCCAACTGTATCCATCTGTTGCCTCTTGTTTTATATTTAGGATTGTAAACTCCTTGGGCAGAGAGAATCTTTTTTCTCTGTTTTTATACAGTGCCTATGAACTATGTCTAGAACTCCTCGGTGCTAAGGTAATACAGAATCTACACATATACATTCATGCCTCCCCCTGCCCCACGCCCAAATTTTTCTGATATTTCTCACTTGGTTGTACTTGTAGTTAAAATAATTGAACTGGGTGACATTTTTGCAGGTTTACAGTATACTAAAGAGTGCAACTAAAATATACCACATTTAACATTACATTTACAGAAAGGAAGCATCCACAAGATAAAATAGTTTTCACTACCCACATGACCAAAGAATTAAATGTATGGGAAGAACCTTAAGATTTCTGGAGTGTTAGATATAGTTAATTACCTTTTAATATGTCAACAAAAAAATTCACTATTTATTATGAAATAATCTAGATTAAGAAATATTTTAAGCAATTTTAGAATTATATACAATTTCTTAATGTTGCACTTTTATCCAAATAATGAAAAGTAAAATATTCTAAAACTATAACTAAATTCAGAACCAAGTTTAAAAATGAAATAGCAACAATTTTCTAAAATGTATTTGGAGTTGAGAATTATTTTTTTGCATTTTCTTTTTTAATTAACAGTGATGTGTATCCTCTATATTATACTCTAGGCCACGATATACTAAATACCTACATATTTAAACCTATGTCCACCTCACACAATATCCCTTTCCTATCTCACCTGCCATTATAATCAAATACAATTGTGATTAGCTTCCTGCAAATTCCAAGATTTCACTGCTAGCCATAAATTAAATACAATAGTGCTGACCCCAAGGTCTTTCTTTGAATGTGGAATGTTCCAGTGTGGTGAATTGTTAATATAGACTTTTTTTTTTAAAGTATAAATAGCACTACTATCTAGCTTCCATGAGTTCTCTCTCATCATACCCAAATGCAAGTAAAGGCAAGTGAAACTAGGTTCCTGAGATTTCCTGAGTACAACAGCTTTACAATACAATGGTTGGCCACTCACAAATTTGTCTCTACGGTTTAAAAGTATTGCTGCTAGGCTATGGAACAAATCAATAAAATTATTTTAAGGTCACATTACACTCACTGGGCCAAGTCCTCACTAAGTTCCATACTCCAAGCTGCCTGAAGAGTTAAGTGACTGGGAAAAAATCTCATGACCATTTTAATCTAGCTCTATCAGTGCAAAGGGCAGATGTGCATGAAACATCTGGGGAAAGGGATGTGAGGAGCATGACCAGAACACTAGAGCTGGTGCCTTTAGGCTGCTCCAAGATAGGCCTAAGCAGGGGACAAGGATTGCGGAAGATAAAAAGGTAGCTTAGAGCCACCTTTGCCTCTCACCCTGAGCTGCGTTAATTGACCCAAACTTTCTTTGCGAGTTCTATGCTGCATCATGACATTCTTGCTTTTATGGGTCAGTGGCTTAATAGCATTATTTCAAGATTGCTTCTATCTATCAACAAAAAAAGGAGTAGAAGAATAAAAATAAGTCCCATTACAGAAGTGAAGCCTTGTATAGTCATATTTGAATTAAAGAGTACATGCTTATTAATGGCTAAACTGCTTTAAATGGTCCAGTGATCATACACTTGGTATGCTTATTACAGTGGGGATCTTCTGAAGACACTTCACAATAGAAAATTATTAATTTAAATCTTGATCTTTACAACTACACTTGGGTTTTCTGCTGCTCTGTTTTACTTTCCCTCTCTAGGACCTCTATCCTCTAATCAATACTTTAACCAAGTAGCATCAGACTCACCATAAATAATAGCATACAGAAAATCAGTCAAATCCTAAGAAGGATATTTAATCATTATACCTTTACCACTATATGACTAATAATTTTCTGTTAGAGAGACAGGGTAGTTGAGGTAAAATCTTTTATTGGTCCAACTACCGTTGGTGAAAGACAGGCTTTCAAGCTACACAGAACTCTTCTTCATATTTTTCTGTTACACATCACAGGTTTCAGAAATTCACTTACGGTTTCTTCTAAAAAGCAACAGAGAGTCCTGTGGCACCTTTAAGACTAACAGAAGTATAGGAGCATAAGCTTTTGTGGGTGAATGCCCACTTCATCAGACGCAAGATTCTTCTAAAAATCCCAAATCTTTCCTGTTCAGTTTCTATATTACAAAAGACTTCATAACTAAATTTACTAATATTATTTCATCAAGTGAGCATGTTAAAATGTCAAAAACAACAAAAACCACCCTGTGATTTCACTAGTAATTACTACTTGAAAGAATGAGAGGTTTTCTTCTATCAGGCCCCTTGTGCGTTAAGGTGATTGTAAGAGCTAAATGCTATACCTAAACATGTTACAAAGGCCTGCTCTTTGTAATAAGTTACTGATTTTTTTACTCACTTTAAGTGGAAGACCAAAAATGACAATATACGCTACCTTCAGCACTTGAACTTGACCTTCAGTAGTTATATCCTTTAAGAGCTCACAAAACGATCGGCATAGGTCACCTGAATACACCTGAAATTAAATGAAAACCAAAATGAAACGTTTGTTATTTGCATTATATGAAGAGCAAAAACTAACCCTTAAACCTTGACATATTATGAATTCTGTAATCAATTTTATTTACAACTGCAATTCCTAGTGAAACTCAAAGAACTAATTCTGTCATAAGTTACAGCAAGACGTACATTTAAATTGCGTGACATTTAAACTTTATATTTGTAGGAAAATGGTAGTTATTAAAAAGTTACAATCTACTGTACATCCACAAAAAATCCAAAATGACCAGCTAGCATCTGAGAATTGTGATTATTTCATCAATTCGCATCACATTTTTTGTATCTCACTCTCCCCTTATGTGCATTTCTTGTTTTTTTTATTGCTAGCAATATTTCCATGAGAGCAGGATCTTTGTTGTTTCTAAACTAATCCGTTGCTATTTATATGTAATCCAAAAAACTATCAAAACTTCTATAATATTACAATTAACTTCTCCAAACAGCATTATGATTTAATCACAGTTAGGCAGTGAAGAAAGGCTATACCTTACTTGTGGATATTTCTTGATCTGTATAAACAGGAATACTGAAGATTAGGGAGGTAATTTTGCCTCTGTGTTTGGTATTGGTGAGATCACTACTGGAATGTTGTGCTTATTTCTGGAGTCCACACTTTAAAAAGTAAGTTGAAAATTGGAGGGGCCTCTGAACAGCACCACAAGAATGATTTGTGATCTGGAAAATATTCTTTACCATGAAACTAAACAAGCTCAAACTATTTTAGTTTATTAAAGAAAAAGTTGAAAGGTGACTCAATTATAAGTACCTATACAAGGAGAAGACATCTGGTACCAGATGACTCTTTAATCTGGCAAACAGTCACACACAAAAACCAGTGGCTGGAAACTGAAGTTAGAAAACTCCAAACGTCTTGCCCTTGAATCTTCAGAGGTGGAGATGCTTTGTTTAGGACAGCAGGAGAAAGAAAATCCTTGGCCCCATATAAGCATTGCCCTCCTCTATTTTTCCTCCCCTTCTCAGCAGCACTCATCTTCCTCATGAGCTTGAGCAGGGAATGAAGGGGGCTCTTTGGCTTATCGGCGGGTGTAGCATAAGCCTCATGGTTCTCTCACATCTAAAAGCTCCTACATATCTACATCACTTTTGAAAGTGGGACTTAAATTTTTCAAAAATGCTTGTCATAGATCATAATGGTTCCTTCTGCCCTAAAGTCTGTAATGATTTCTGTAAAAAAGAGAAAAAATGCCACCAAGGGCCTGGTTCTGTCACCTTTGCTCACAGAGTAGGCAGTACGTTGCTCAGACAGTAGGCCAAATCAATGGAACTACTTGGTGAATAAGGTACTACTTACTGTACATAAGAGTGACAGAATCTGGCCTCCAGATACTATAGTGAGGGGTGATTTAAAATCCATGTGATGACAGTAGTAAGTATCAGGAACTGATAAACCGAGAAACAAAGATTGTGTTTTCAAGCAAATATCCAGGATAACATAATAAGCCAGCAGATGGCATGTAACTGTGAGAGGCCAAGTCTACGAGGATCAATGATCTAGATGTTTGAAACAGGAGTGTAAGAGACATGCAACCAAAGGGGCATTCAACCTTTGAGTTACAACCAAAATGGAATAGGAAGGGAGGCACAACAGAGAAAGAGATTGACTAGGGTCGTTTTATGGTTAAGTCACTGCTCTTAAAATCAGATTATCTGGGTTCGATTCCCACCTCAGCCACAGAATTCCAAGTCATTTAGGCCCAGATTTTTAAAAGTATTTAGGCACTTAGCACCCATTGATTTCAATACCTTCAAAAATCTGACCCTTAATCTCTGTGTCTCAGTTCCCCATCTATAAAATGAGAATACTACCAACTTCCTTCCTTAGTCTGTCTTGCCTAATTAAGTTATAAACTCGTTTGGAGAAGGGATCATCACTTCCTATGTAGGTATACAGCACCTAGCACAATGTGTTTCAGAACTCACTTGGTGCCTGTGGGCACTAGTATAATATAAACATTATTATTATTTTTATTAAAATTTCAAACTATTGTTCCCTAATGAGAATGTTTCAATGGATATTTTAAAATTCTAAATATGGTTAATATGATGCTGTATACATCTAGAAACCAGAATCTTCAACTACATTATTTTACTGAAAGCCCACAATGTGCAATGAATCAGTTATTACAGCAAAATAATATTTTGATATAGGAAAAAGGAGAAACGTGTCTTTTGGCACAATACACTACTAACAATCAAAATTAAATGGTGAACACAAAGCTTCACAAAATAGTAACTTCATTTCCCCACATACCTGTAGAAATTCAGATGATGATAAAAAAATATAAGCATTGATGATCTTAAAGCAGGTTCTGAGGTTTTCTGAACTTAGCTCTGCAAAAATAAGTGTCAGATGATTCATTGTCTTTGCCAACAAACTATTTTTACAAAGCTTTAACTAAAACAATTAACTTTTTAAACAATTAGTCATATTTACTTTTGTGTGATATTTATGTTTGCTTTATTTTCCTCTTATTGTTTTGTTATATCACAGAATTACTTACCTGGTGGGGCATTTTTCCCAAATAAGTCAGTAATTACAGATCTATACACCTGGATTCATACTCCCAATACATGGCTGATACTTTCTACAACCAAAACTTTGGGAAAAGCCATCTTGACAACAAATGGTATATACCCATTAATTGAGGGGAAGTAAGTCTGGTCTCTAATATCCCATTCTATTTTTGAGTGAAATATTACTACAAGCATTATAATACATCAACTGACGGGAAAAGGCAGATGGGTGAGTAGAATGTGTGATCAATTATTACCCTTTTAGTGTAATATTTTTCACAAAGGAAAATAATTAAGTTTATTTACCAGTAAAATGATTGCCTTTGTGGATATGCGCAACTGGAAACCGTGCGGCACTTCACTACTTAGTGTTCATTGAGGTCACATACACACACTACTCCTGGGGGAACTGTGCGCATCTGCGGACGTGCAGAATTCCTCTGCCCCACATAATTTTGTATTTTCCCACATGAAATACATTTTGCCTAAAAAGTGCTGCAGTTCCGCCTTTTGCCCACAAGAGGCCACTGTGATGTCAGAACAGCCCCTGGTGGGCAAAAGGGGGAACTGCGGCACTTCTGGGGCAGAATGTATTTTCTATGGGGAAAAAAGCTATACCCAGTGCTGCAGAATTCCCCCAGGAGTAGAAGTTCATCACAGCACCCTGCCCGCAGAGCCAGATTAGGACAGAGTGGGGCACAAAGGGCTGCTGGGATGTCACAGACTGGGGTTCAGAATGGCTAGTGGAGGGGAGAGACTGGGGCATGGGCTCAGGAGCTGGTGGGGTGACAGTGTTGAGCCTGAGGACAGGAGAGGGGGTTGCAGAGACCCATGGGGATGGGGGCTGCGGGGACAGGGGCAGATGTGCCTGACTAAATGGAAGAGGGTTGGAGTCAGCCAGGGTCTGCATCAGAGCAGGCTTCCCAACTACTTAGGAATTCCCCCATATCCCCCCAAAAAACCTACCACCCACACCCAACACCCTCCAGGTTCAGTCCTAGGCTCCTTCCCTCTCCCTCAGCTCCCACGTTAACCCTGGCTCCTCCGAGCCTTTGCACTGTTTCTGACAGGTGCAGGAAATACAGTTCTCTATTGTAAGTTTAATAAATTACTCAGAGTTCTGTATTAATATGCCTAATAAGGAATCTATTTGTTAAAAAAAAAAAAAAATTACCAGAATTTTTTTTTTAGGTCTGTATTGTTAGACATAACTTGCTGACAGATATTTTGAAATAAATTACCAAAATAATTGAAACTGGCATGATTATATTGTGTTATTTTGACAAATACAATTTTCAAATATTGTGTGCAGAATTTTTAATTTTTTGGCACAGAATTCTCCCAGGAGTAACACACGTATCGTAGCAGCACAAAAGTGAGAAACAACAGTTTCAATAGCCACTCCGTTCCTTCAACTTATTCAGGAATCCATTTAAGAATCACCAAAAAAATGAATGAAGGGGGTGGGATCTATACATGCAGTCTACTTGAACTACAGTTACTGGTAAGTAATCTCCCTCTCTCCTTCAAAAAGTATCTATAGATTAAGAAGCAATGATAAACACCTTATACAAAGCAGATCTGAGTAGAACTAGTGAAACAAAGATTGCAGGACTGCTCTTCCAAACTGGGCTTCAGAGCTAGCTGTCAAGTCAAGAGAGAATACTGAGTAAATGTACTGAGCTTCAGGTAACTGCATTGCATATTTCAGTGATGGAGACATTCTAGAGATATTATAGAGGCTTCAGGTACTGATAGCCAATAGATTTGTATGAGACACAATTTGAAGAAAATATGAACAAAGAGGAAAAACAAAAACAAACAAAAGGTTAAAATATGATGAAAAGTTTAAATAAAAAGCTTCAATAAAACAGCAGCTCTATTATGCAATATCTTCAATTAAGTCATGTATAACATACACTTATCTTTTACAGTTCAGAGTTATCACCTGGCCTTCATTTTCTCCCAATTCTTGGTCTTTTATGATCTTTAGATTACATAATCTAACCTAGAAGTGATTCATATTGATTTTCATATTGATTTTAACTAAGCTTTGGATCAGGAATAATTGCAGCTTTAAAATAAAGTGCACACATTTCAGTCTGCTATTTTATTGAGTCACCAAATGATATAATTTTTACTTAGGGGCTTTTGCCTGTGTAATCCAGCCTCCTCCTGATTTCCACAGATGTCCTCAAGCAAACAAAAGGTCCTCAACCTTTTTCTGGGTCTACTCCAGATATTAGCAGCCAACCATCTCTCTAAGAATCCACTCCTGAGACAGCAGCCCTTACCACTGTGACTCCCACTTCATACACACGTTTGTAAAGTATAAGCCTACAACTCAAACTGCCCTTTGGCCACGTAGGCCGGGCAGGTAAGGTAGCAGTTGTACACTGGCAAATTGTTTGACAAAAGATTGGCACTGAACCTCAGGGTTCTGGGTTCAGTTTGTCTTCCCCCTAAACCATAGCTTCTCCTTAATGTGTGGAGGTGTGAAACCATTAGAAATATCCTCGAGCAAAATGTACTCTCTTTGACCACGTGGGGGAGGGGGAAGCGGAGAAGGATGAGTTAGAATCATAGAATATCAGGGCTGGAAGGGACCTCAGGAGGTCATCTAGTCCAACCCCCTGCTCAAAGCAGGACCAATCCCCAACTAAATCATGCCAGCCAGGGCTTCATCAAGCCTGATCTTAAAAACCTCTAAGGAAGGATATTCCACCACCTCCCTAGGTAACCCATTCCAGTGCTTCACCACCCTCCTAGTGAAAAAGTTTTTCCAAATATCCAACCTAAACCTCCCCCACTGCAACTTGAGACCGTTACTCCTTGTTCTGTCATCTGGTACTACTGAGAACAGTCTAGATCCATCCTCTTAGGAACCCCCTTTCAGGTAGTTGAAAGCAGCTATCAAATCCCCCCTCATTCTTCTCTTCTGCAGATTAAACAATCCCAGTTCCCTCAGCCTCTCCTCATAAGTCATGTGCTCCAGCCCCCTAATCATTTTGGTGCCCTCTGCTGGACTCTTTCCAATTTTGATGAAGGAGGGTTTTGTGTTTTAAGTCACTGGTATTTACACATCTTTCAACAAATCAAAAATACGATGCAACTAAATAGCAATCTTACTCAAAAGGCTCTCTTGATCCAGGTGCCTACTGAGCTTTGTTCCTGCAAGTGTTTACAATGGCTACACTTGAATGACTAGCCACAGGTGGCTCCAAGGGTGTTGAAATGAAGACCAGATCTGCCTGTGCTGATTTATGTAATCTGATCACCCCAAACACTCAGGTTTTAGCGCTGAGTATGCTGAATTGTGCATCAGAGACAATATCATCATCTTTGAAACAATTTGAGATGCATATAAGGGAAGCCTATTCTTCACACCAAAGGTGTTAACAGACATGTTCTTTTGCTACATCTTCAAGATTTAAGGGCAATGCTGAATGCTTTAAAATCCAAATCTAGATTATTTAGATCTCTCCTTTCACTCACCATGCCTGAAATGATAACATCTTGACATGGAGATGAGATGTGAGAGGGAGCCAGATCAGACTTATGTTTAGAGCAGATCAGTGTAGTGTATTCAGATTGAATTCTAATTAAGTTTTAAAATGACATTTTAGATCCATATGATTTAAAAATCAAATTAAATACACACTGAATAGAACATACTTCTACTTAGTTTTCTTTTTTCTCTTTAGGGAATTGTTAAATGTTAAAAGGTAATAATCACTCTTAAAAGACATATTCAAATAATGCAAAAATATGACTGTATGAATCACAATGTAAAGGAAATCATTAAACTAGCTGATTGCTTTTAATCATGTGTTGGTATTATTCAGTAGAGTAGACCTATATATAAGCCACTTACAAAAGTCCCTATGCAACATGGGAGAGGCTAGGCAACTAAAAATGGTTATTTCTCTGGGCTGTAAAATTGCAGCTAGGAATGGAGGTTAAGTCCGCTAGCAGGAATGTTTGGTAGCTAGAAGAGCAATCAGCACTTCTTGGGAAAAATTACAAGAGGAAACAACAAATGGGTTTGGAGGTACAGGTGCTTGAAGGATTGCTGGTGGGTTAGGAATCAGAGGCAAGAAGGGCAAGTGCTTGTACATTGAACATTGTTAAGTACAAAACTTAATAGCACTGCAATGCAATTTATAGGCAACATTTTCCTACGCAGTCATTAATCAAAGCAAGCACAGAAGTCTGCAGTAAATTTACTGATAGCTACCAACACACTTCTTGATAACCAGATGCATATTTTGCACAAAGTATCTTTAATTCTATTTACGCCATCCTTTACAGCTTTACGCCTAATTCTTTTACATCTTTACTGAAGGAAAACATACTAGCATGGGGAAAAACATGTTTATACATATTACAGGTCACGATTTTTAAACAAAGGGTGACTAAAGTTAAACTCCTAAATCCAATGGGAGCTACTGCTCAGCACTTTGGAAACTCAAGTGACCTTTTAAGGCATCTAAATAAGGGCTTAGGAGCCTAACTTTATGCACTTGTTTCTGAAAATCTTGGTCTAAGTATTTATTGTGTAATGGATTGAGTTTTAAATTTCATCTGAGAGCCATGATGTCCCAAAGCAAGGAATCCTACAAAAAGTGAAAAAATGGACACATTGCTAAAGAGGAGTACACAAGAATAGCACAAGTATGTAGGAACAAAATCAGAAAGGCTGAGAACTTGTCTATACTTAAAAGTCTGCAGCAGCATTTCAGTGAAGATGCTACCTACACCAACGGGAAAACTTCTCCCATTGGCGCAGGTAATTCACCGCTTTGAGAGGCAGTGGC